CTCCCCGCGCCCCCCCCCCCACCCCCTACCAAGCGCCCCGAAGATAATATGCAAAAGAGCAGCTTAAAAAGTAATTATCGTTCAAGCGGTGGATGCTGTTTAAAAATGGTCCGTGGCGAAAAAGTTTTCTAATTTCAGAAGCCAAGGACGTCCGTCGCGACGCGGACGTCGACTGCGAGGCGAACGATACTACGGATGCTAAGGGGTAGTTACAGTAGGATAGTTGCGTACTCGTAAGTACGTATATGGATATAGAGTCCGTACGTGATAACTGTGTACAACGTGATGACTGCAATGAATAATCGAGCAGAGCAATGCCGGTGTAACCGTGACTAGTATTATTAGTGCTACTAGGGCTGTTGAAAGTATCGCTGCTACTGCTGCTACTACTATACTGACAATTCAGCTTTATTTATCCTGACTTCTTTTTTACTCTCGTCGCGGTAAACCATTTTTTTACTCTCAAATTTTTATTCGCTGTATAAAAGTTACGAGGGGAAAAAAAGCTGATTCGAGTCATGAAATATGAGGAATTGTTTTCAATGACGATCGGTGATAACGAGTACTGGGTTATTTTTTGTATTTACGTAAATATAGTTCGATCACATAGAAATTATTTGATTACTATATCACCTTTGTCTACTGGTAGTAAGTGTACTTTAACTTTTTTTTCTTTTATACCCAAAGTACGAAATAATGATAAGGTACGATCAGCACAGAGATCGATAATACATCGATACGTATTGATACAATGTAAAAGAATATTGATTTTAGATTATTCTTTGATAATTCTTAAAATTGAACGTTAAAAAAATTGGTTGATGCTAACAAGTTCAGGGTATGGAATGGGGAAAGAGTGAGAGGAGAGAGAGAGAGAGAGTATCTTAGATGAAACCAAGTACCCAAAGATAATGGGATTAATGTGACCGGGCGTTGATGAATATGAATGAATATTTAATGAGCGAAAAATTCGTCGCAGCAGCCTGCAAAAGAGCGTAAGGGCGAAAGAAGTAGTAGGTGGTGGGTAGGTAGTCAGCCAAGGGAAGCAAACAGTAGGGGGGTTTACAGATAGGTATACAAGCTGGGCGCCGGTGGGTTTGAAGTTGCCGGGAGAGGAATGAGTAAGGGTGGCAAAGGACTGAGAATGACAATGACGGTAGCGAAGAGGGTTTAAAACTTCAACCCCCTCGTGTAAAATTTACAGCAGGCTGGATCCGGCGCGTCATTAAACACGTTGTTTCATAATTCAAGTCACGATATATCCACTTGAAACTATCCCCCAATTCCACCCACCACCCACTTCATGCACCAACGACTCTCCCCCCTCCTCTTCTGCCTGATCATTCCCTCGGCCTATGTCTACTAATAGTACAGCACTTCAGGGCGGCTACGTGCTCGTGCGCAAAAGTACTAAAACAAGTACACTCGAGTGCATCGGGGGTAACCGTTGTCCTCGGATTAGAGATCCGCAAAAAAGAGTCCAACGCCATTTCCAGCTGAAGCATCCCCGGCGACACCCCACGCGCGTCCCATACAGCGCAAAGGACAAAGAGTCATCGGTAGGTAGCTGTGAAATTGTACGATTCACCCAAGGTAGGAAAAAAAAAAATTTCAAAAATTTTTTGGGATCACGTAAAATCGGTAACGTTGAAAATTCAACCACGTGTCCCTGTTACGGGGTATGAAAAAAAAATTTTTTTAAGGATTCAACGAAAAATTGAATTTATGCATTTAAAAATTTTACTCTGGATCCGAACCTGGGTCAAAGTACACGTGTCACGTGCAAGCTCAGCTTCGGCTACTTTAGAGGCAATATTAGGACACGGACAGTCCATTACGAAGAAGTTGCGGTCCGCATTGCCTCATCAGAAAGTCGTTAGCATCCCCCCCCCCCCCCCCTTTCCCCCCCCCCCC